AGGAGATCTAAACAGGTAGACTCAAGTAGCCTAAGCATAATCTGTTCCATGCAAATCAGATCATCCTGTGAATAATAACAACAACAACAACAACAACAACAACAACAACACCACTTTATTTATACCCCGCTACCATCTCCCCAGGGGACTCGGTGCGGCTTACATGAGGTCGAGCCTAAAATACAACAATACAAGCAATAACAATAAGAATACAAGCAATTTAAAATAACAAAACAATAAACCAATAACGCATATAATATCAATAGGACAACACACTTTAAAAACTATGGGTAGGCCAAATGTAATTAAAATTAAAAGATTAAAAATAATGCTGGACATGGACGAAAAAGTGATAGGGCAGTTTGTGGGAACATACGAGCAGACATAAATATATAAAGTGCTTTAGAGGACAAAGCGGTATGGGATCAATACAAAGGTTTCCCCATGGAAGTGAATCATTGAGGCACGTGACTCTCAAACGCAGTATTAAGAAGTGGCTTTCAATGTAAAAGATGTTTCCCAAGTAAATAAAAACAGCCAAACCCCCCACCATAGTGCTGAAAATCGTCCCAGTGTAGAATGGGCCTGAGTCAGATGGCGGATATCATCCATATACTTCGCTGCTTAGTGTGTAGCCACATGATATCATTACTGAGGACAAAATTATTTAAGAACGAGAATTATTTTTCTTGAATATATACCATTCTAGCCAATCAGGCCATGCTATGAATATGATGGCATCGTGACATTATACAACCAGTCGGATTTGATTGCACAATGAAACAGTTAAGGGTGAAAACAAGAGAGCAAGAACTATGTAAATGAATGAACCTAATTTTTTTTGTCATGCCATCAGCGACTTGAGAAACTGCAAGTCACTTCTGGTGTGAGAGAATTGGCCGTCTTCAAGGACGTTGCTCAGGGAACACCCGGATGTTTTGATGTTTTATCATCCTTGTGGGAGGCTTCTCTCATGTCCCCGCAGGAGGAGCTGGACCTGACAGAGGGAGCTCATCTGTGTTCTCCCCGGATTCAAACCTGCGACCTGTCGGTCTTCAGTCCTGCCAGCACAGAGGTTTAACCCACTGCACCACCGGGGGCTCCTTTTTATGAACCTAACTGCAAACATAGGTTAATATTCATAATGTTATTTAGAAACAGTGAATAGCTTCTGTTCATCCTGCGTTTTAACTGTCTATGGATTAAAATTTATACTCTGGATACATCATAAGATGACACAACTTATGGAAAAAGACTACAATGTTTGGTAAAATGGAAAACAGTAGGAAAAAGGGAAGCTCACATTGCCAAATGGATTAATTTGGTAATGGAAGCCAGGGAGGACTGTTAATGATTGGAGCTTTCCTATTCATAGGATTGGCAGTTGGGTACATCTAATCTGGAAAGCTATGCATTACAAATTATTAGCAGCTATAATCACAGACTCCAGAATGTGTATGGAAAATCTACAACAGTATTATGATTTTAAAGATATTTTACATAAAATATGCAAATTAAATAGAAGCACCTCAAAACAACCAGTTAAATAGATACATAGCATATTTTCCTTTATTCCACTTCACAAACAAATGCAAAATGTCTATTGCAGCTGTGATATGAGAGTTATCATTCATGTTTATATGATCAGCTTTCCTTGTGTTGTGTATGCTTTCAGCAAAGGGATATTTGAGGATGTAGTGAATTAAAATCGGCAATAAAGGTTTGTGGCTTAAAACTTGGCTTTCAACATGGAAATGATAGATTTCATTCCACTGCAATTTCCGTTTGAACTTACCTCGTAACTTTTTCCCATTTTGCTTTTCCTTCTCATCTTCCTTCTGGCCCATTGTCTTGCTTTATTCATGTTAACAATTATTTTTACCACGTCTTCTTTCTGTATCCCCAAATAAAGGTAGGAACTAACTAGTTAAACTTAATTGATCAATTAAGTTGGCAGATTCTAACAAGAGCAACTTGTATTTTACAGTAAAACAATCTAGTTGGGAGTACTAGTATCATGTTGTGGTTTGAGTGTTGAACTATTGCTCTAGAAACCAGGGTTCACATTCCCTGCTCAGCCACGGAAACATAATTGGTGACTTAGGCAAGGTATCTTTTTCAGCCTAAGAGGATGGCAATGGCAACCCTCCTGGACAAATCTTGCCAAGAAAACATTGTGATCAGTTCAGTTTCTGTCATAAATCAGAAACAACTTGAAGGCACACAACTTCTTGTTGAATTTTCATAATTTACTGACTTTCTGTATCAAGTTATAAAGTTACTGATTTATTAAATGAGAGGGAGTTAAAGAACCATGGCATTTTACATTTCTCAGAGTATTCCTTGCCCAAAGTTTAGATTTTCTGCATCTTTGCAAATATATTTGTTTTTCTGTTAATCTTTTAGGGTTGTGGAATTATAGTCTTTAGGTCATGAGTTCCAAACCACCGAGTAGTAAGGTCATCTGTTCTCTTCTAGAATTGAATAGAGGCTCCTCTCGTATTTCTAAGTAAAGGAGGACTGAAGCTCTTGACTGTGGAACTTTGGTTGGGATCCATGCAGGAAATGATAAAAATGAGATTATAAGCAAGAAAGGAAAGGGAAAGCTAAATATATAGCATTCATATATAATGTGCTTATATATGATTCTGGCATTGTTCTGGTACAGCTGTACCAGGAGCTCTAATTTTGTTTGCTTTGCATTGAATGTTTGTTTGCAGTCCTAAGTTTCAGTGACTCTGCAGATAGGTGGCTTCTTTTGGTTGCAGTTATAGGGCAAGCCACCTGTCCATCATCGTTGAGTTTGGTCCCGCCCCTTGCTCAGGGCAATTGAGAAGGGAAGGGGGCCATTTTTCAGTTAGTCTCAGCTAGGAAGTCCATCATCGTTGAGTTTGGTCCAGCTAAGTGACTGGTATGTCCACTCGGTTTTGAGACGCAGTTCAGCCCGGTAGTGGATCCACATCAGTCAGGTCTAGGCTCACAGTTAGCCTGGGAGGAGCTAGAAAGGAATTTTCCTTGGAAGTAAAGCAAAGAAACAGTTAGAAGCCACCAGTTGTTTGAAACCTGGAAGCATTTGTTTAATCTTTGAAGACAAAAGAAGTTTGTTTAATTGTTCATCAATAAAAGACTTTGTTGTATTTAAGCTCAAGCCTTCTAAAGACTGTTTAATGGGGGAAAATTCTCTAAGGGCTTCTCTTCGGGGCCCCTGGCTTCCCATTGGGCTAAAGTTGCACATCCTGTTTTAAAAGCACTTCATTTCAAGCCCAGCAGCGACAGAACAGGCATGTTCAAAAATGGGACAAGGTGTGATGAGGGGTGGGAGCAAAATTGTAGATGAGATTCTTTACCTTAATTCAGGAAAGGCTTTTAGTGCCAGCATTAATTTAAAATGAGAGTTTAACATAAACCTAGCATCTAAATTTCTTCTTCTCAGTTAAATTAATTGAATTTGGGTTTTTTTAAGCTTATGATTGATTGACTGATCCACTCTTTTCTAGTATCTTTCCTCTCTGCTCCACATCCACTTCCTATTATCTGCTCCTTCTACTAAAATGCCCATTTGGTCCTTTCATCGGCTTTTCAATCCTTTCTTTTTTAGGACCTTTTGCTTGGCTTAAAGCATTTGATGAGTTACCATGGCAGCCAGAAATTATCAGTATGCCCTGAACTGCTGGAGCCTTTGTCACCACTACACTAACAAATTAGCTGAGTGCATTATAATATAGATTGCAAATCAGAATTGGTAAAATGGTATCTTTTATTAGATCAGCTTCTGTGAGTTAAAGGATATCGAAGACAATGAGTTCACAGAACTCTCCATCAGGCAGAATAGAAAAACCAGACAATTCTCTGCCTATACAGAGTCAGAGATTTTTGAACACCAATATTTCCAGTCACTTTAACACATAGTGGCCTAGTCACAGAACACAAGTACATCAGACCATTTTATACAGAACAATTTAACCAAGAAGAAATAGACAAATGACTCCAGAAGCAAAGAGGTAAATTATTTTCCTGCACACTTCAACTGTTCATTTCCAGATAGGTCTTGTATAAAGGTTAGCCACATCCTTTTTAATGCATCATTTATGGCAACCTAGGTATGCATATGTTCCACCCATATTTGTATGACAGACAAATATTAAGGGAAAATACACAGCTTGAAACATACGTTGGATAAACACCATTAGGCCATAGTCAGTCATGGCTCATCCATTTACATTAATAGCATGTCCCTGAGTCTGTGAACAAGGATCTTCCCATTTACATTTTTATGCTTTTGCATCAAACATTACTACAACATACTCAGGCTACAACATAAAGTGTGATGCCACTCACTGATTCTCATTCATGGAGTGGGTAATAAGTTGTTTGGGCCCAAAAGCACTTTCCCCCCAGGTGTGCATGCTGAAATTTGATTTTCATCCACACATTCATTCGGTAGTGAGACTTTTCATGTTTCCTATATAGGAACATCACAAATGATTACAACAGCCACATATAGCTTCTGTGTTGCATGATTGTTTTTCAGGATGTTGGCAGCTAGGACAGAGAAAGTTGTCTACAATTAACCCAGATGGTTTTGTGTTATCAGATGGACTTCTAGCCAAGATTACAATAGGACTAATGGGGCAGAGATGCTGTGGGACAAGGAAAAGAAGCCAGAAGGCTCAAAGATTGAACACTCTGAAAACACCAGTGGGACTGTAATCAGAAGAAGGAATGATCTACACTGCCCTATATCCCAGGATCTGATCCCAGATTATCTGCTTTGAACTGGATTATATGAGTCCCTACTGGCAGATAATCTGGGATAAAAAGATAATCTGGAATCAGATCCTGGAATATAGGGCCATGGAGATCCAGCCTGAGTGCTTAGCAAGACTAAGGCCCCTTAAACAAAGTCCTATATCTCAGAATATCAAGGAAGAAAATCCCACATTATCTGCTTTGAATTGGGTTATCTGAGTCCACACTCAGATATTATGGGATTTTCTGCCTTGATACCCTGGGATATAGGGCTGTGTGGAAGGGCCCTAGGACACCAGGAGAGCAAGGTTTGAATCTGCATTCAGCCATGGAAACTCATTCAACCTTAGAAGCTCTCTCAGACCAAATCTTGCCAAGAAAACCCTGTGACAAATTTGCTTTAAGGTTGCTATACATTGGAAAGAACTTGCAAGTGCACAAAAACAATTAGCAACAAGTCCCAAAGAAGAGTTATCCAAAATAGAAGATATTAGATTCTAATGTATTTTTTATCTTACATATTATGTGGCATTGGTCCCATCCTGGAACCTTCTTCGTTACTAGGTGAAGTTGCCAAACATTAATGGCAACCTTAAAGCAGCTTTTTAAAATACATTTCTCTCCAGCTATTTTGGGCTACAGCTTTGATCATCCACATCCTTCAAAGCCAATGGCCAGAGAGTATGGGCATTTGTAGTTTATACTGCAGGTGATTGGGAGCAAGGACTGTGTCTGGGCTTTTATATTCTTAAAGTAATACCTTGACTCTTCCAAAGGTGACATAGATGATATTTAAAAATAATAATAATGGTAAACAATTAAGAGATGTAACCTAGAGGACAAAAAGATAACTTTTTATGTAACATATTGGCTACATACTGCTCTCATATCATTATTGTAACTCAAGGCAAACAAATATGTTGTCTAAGAGTGTTTTACAACTCCATATTAAGTAGTTATTCAAGGAACAATGAATTGTTCTAGATACTTATGTATAAGTCTTGAAATGTTAGTTAAAAATCAGCCCAACTTATCAACTTATCCACTGTCAATGTGAGCACTGTTCCTTAACTCCAATATAAAAAGGAAGTGTCTTCTTTACTTAATAGAGTAGAAAAAGGAAAGAGCTTCATCCACATTGGGAGAACTTAAAAGAAGCACTGACCCCCTCTAGTATGTTGTTTTTTGCCGTTGTCAAAGCATGGGCAAGGAAATGGCAGTGGCTATGGCCAGCTGGTTGTTAAGGCGGCATTGGTGCTTTCTTATCTCACGAAATGATCCTTGACTTATCAAAATCCAGAATTTTGGCACCAAAACCTGCCCTTGACATATACATGAGATTAACCTTCACAGGAGTGTATTTAGTAGATATATAAGGCGGTAGTTAGCTGTTTCAGCCAAGTACAAGTAATTTGTGATCTGGTGGACCCATGTCCTGATTTTTCTGGTTACTTTTTTTTAGTGCACAGTTATCACCTTCTACAAATCATAACTTCTATTAGTATCGTTGCAACATTTATCTACTCCTCCCCCATAGGTATTTCCCAAACTTTTGTTCAAAAGACATACAAACATCACAGATTATGAACTTGTAGACGGTTTGGCCTTTAGCATCATCATCCATCTCTGTCCAAAAACTGGTCAAGCCAGAAGAATTAATATAATTCCTTCCTAGAAAAATGTTGTTGGTCAATGGTCTTAAAAATTCCCCTAGACATATTTATTCTGTGATCAGAAGTATTTCAGTGATTTTTTTCCATTTCAAGATCTTAAGGCTTTTCTAATTTTAGTGAAAGAGCTGCAAAAGAGCTTTTCTCTTTGACCAAATAATGAAAACATTCCCAGTATGGCCTTGAAGACACTGATCATTATTGAAGCTACTTCAACAATGCAAGGAAATGTGTATGTTCACCTTCTTTTCAAATCTGAATGGTTGGCAGAAAGTTTTCTAAGTACTCAGAGCAGAAGTTGCTTAAATATTTTCAATTTTAATTTTGGATCTTCAAAGAATTGTCAATCATGAAAAACTAAAAAAATATAGACATGAATATTTTAGAGTCTTATTGTTGTGATGTGTTAAGTATATCAGTTCTCTTCTTTTTAAAACAGTCAAACATATATTTATAGGTAAAGGTATCCAATCCAGTAAACAAGGTTGAACAGGGCAAAGGCTGTAGGAAAGAAGATCCTAGAGTAGGAGTCAATTTTCGCCACTCGGATGTGTATTCTTCCTTCTCTCCATGATCCGGTGCGACAGTCATCAAAGCAACAAAAGAAGCTGGTGCAGTCTTTACCTTCAAGGCACTCATATCCATAACTGTTATCACGTTCTTGAAAGTGGCGAATATTGTTAATTGAAATTAACGTTGAACCGGGACGGACAGGAAGCACTGGTGGATTCTAAAGAAAATGATATGAAATTAGAATTTTGCTTGTAAGAACTATCTAAAGGTATATCCAGAGAGATGGGTGGAGTAGGGTGTGTGTGCATGTGCCTTCACATCACCTGTAGACATATGGTGATTTTATGAATTTTCTGAGACAAGGAATAAACAGAGGTGGATTTGCTAGATCTTTCCTCTGAAATATAGCCTGCAGCACCAGAACCAGAAATGCCCCTGGTGAGTTTCTACGAACAAGCAGAATTTGGTGTCTTTGGTGTATTTACATCCGACTGTGAGAATAGATCTGGCCAAATCCACTATCAAAGTAATTATTTACAGTTACAGAACAAAGGTCTAGAAAAATAATAATCAATAGAGTTACAATTTAAAGCAACTGATTACTTTTTACTTTCTCTGAAACATTCCTCTAAATTTACATTAAAACACCTGAATAGTGCACATTGTTGGCCAGTGATACAAAGCACACACTCAACCTTTCTACTTTGTTTTCACTTCAGTACCACGAAAGTCTGAGTTACCAGCAATAGCCAGCACTTGAACCATGTTATATTCCTCCTGAACTACCTAGTGAATTCATGGAATTATAATAATATTTTTAAATGTTAAATTAAGTTGTCGAAGGCTTTCATGGCCGGAATCACTGGGTTGTTGTAGGTTTTTTTGGGCTATATGGCCATGGTCATATATTTGGGCTACATGGTCATGGTCAAAATTGCAACAGCACAACAACAGAGAGGAAACAAACAAGGACATCTAATCACCTCTCAACAAAGTTTGCTCTACGCAATGTCAGGCCATTATATGCTAATCAAGGTTGTCAGTTGAAACATTCACACCTACCTCCAGCAGACAAGAGTCCTTTGTCTCACCCTGGTCATTCCACAGATATATAAACCCTTTTTCTTAGTTCCAACAGACCTCACTACCTCTGAGGATGCTTGCCATAGATGCAGGCGAAACATCAGGAGAGAATGCCTCTAGAACATGGCCATATAGCCCGAAAAAACCTACAACAACCCTTAAATTAAGTTATTCCTCAATGACTCATAATTATACTGTAATGTAGATAAACCTTTGTTATTCCAAAAAAACCAAAACAAAAAAAGAACCCTAAAACCCCACATTGTTTATGATCCATTGTTTGTACTTATAGCTCTTCTATCAAGATATACATAATGTAAGATCACAAGATTGGGATGACAGAGGTACAACATCACAGGATTTCTAGATTACAGTATAAATGCAGTGAGTAGGAATGACACTGTGAACACGTTATAATATTGTAAGACCCAAAAGCTCATTTCAACCATATGTTAAACTTTTCCAGCATGGTGCTTTGTTTGAGAATTAATATCTTTAGGGTCTGCTGGTGTCTCAGAAATGGATCTAAAATGGAACTCTAGCCAACAGTCAATTGGTGCTACTAAAATGGTTAAATAAAAGCAACTGAAATTATGTGATTAAATTTTAAAGAGGTATTTTAGCACAATCTGCTTTTTCAGCATTTTTGGTAACATTTGGGATCTAATAGAGACAATCATAGACTGCAATGTTGTTAAAATTCAGTGCTTAAATACCTTATAGTACAGCAGGCAGATCATTTGCTCTTCATGTGAAGAAATAAAAGGGTTTCATTACAACCCATTTTGACAGACTAGTTGCTAAACTATTACATCTTGCCAGCATCTTTTTCTTTCAGTTTCAAAAGTAAGTGTTACAGAGGAAAAATGGAATCAATAATGAGCTAAATGTTTCAACCATCCAGTGAACATATTAAATATTTGTATGATTTGTATTGCTTCAGTATTAAAGTTTGTATAATGATATCTTTTCAATTACAAATTATCGGGAGATTTGTCACAAATATTAAAAATTAATTGGGTATTTTAATTACAAAAATGTGAGTCAAGCACTGAAAAAGGTTAAACAGTTGCAATGACTTAGCAAAATCTGCAGTTTAATATAAGCAGGTATGCCTGTATCTTAGTAGGCCTCAGTGTTTGAGAAGACCTGGTAAGGCGAAGCTTCAGTGAGAGGAAGCCCCAAGTTGAAGGTCTCATGTGTAAAGCTCATGTGTGAAGCTCCAGTGTAACTCTGGTGTTAGAAGAGGCTCTGTGAGAGCTAAGCTGTTTATTTGCATGGGAAAAAAGCCCAGTGTGGAAGCAAAGAAGGAACTATAAAGAACTTTATTTGTGTTATGGAAACCTTGTTTTTGTAAATAGTTCAATAATAATAATAATAATAATAATAATAATAATAATAATACTTTATTTGTACCCTGCTACCATCTCCCCAAGGGACTCGGTGCGGCTTACATGAGGCCGAGCCCGCAATACAACAATACAAGCAATAACAATAACAATACATGCAATTAAAATAAATCACATAGACAATGACATAAGCACTGACAATAGTACAGAACACTTTAAAATCTATGGCTGGGCCAAATGTAATTAAAATTTAAAATTATGCTGGTCATGGACGAGATAAGGAAATGGGCGTAGTGGAGACATACGAACAGACCCAAATCAATATAAAGTGCTTTAGAGGACAAAGTGCTGAGGATTCATTGTTCTGGGAAGGCACACTAGAACAACCATGTTTTCAAACTCCTCCTGAAGACTGCCAGAGTTGGGGCCTGCCTGATGTCCTTAGGGAGTGAGTTCCAGAGTCGAGGGGCCACTATCAATAAGGCTCGTCCCCACCAATCACGCTTATTTTGCTATAAAGAAAAGCCTCCTAAAAAAGAGATAACATTGGTCTGTGTGTTTTTGTTCTTTTTATCACTTTTGGGCTACTGGTGCTGGGTCACGCTGTTGCTAATAAGTTACTCTGCTGTGCATTTATGAGGAGGGTCTTTGTTAATAAGCCCACTCCCCCAACAAGATTGTATTGCTACTATTGGTTTATTCTATGCTATTGGTTCATTTTAAATATTTCATTATTTCTGCTGTATTATTACATGTTTATATTTATTGTAAAACCACATCAAAATATCCTTGAAGGATGGACAGAAAACAGCAATAAACAAACAAAAGTCTTATGTAACCTATCAGATATGTTTATTCCGGTGACTTTACAAAATATGCACTCTGATGAAAACCAATTTATCTCCCGTTTTCCTCTATGTATATTTTATAAAATACAACATTTTCTCACTGTATAATATTTCCACATGATATACTACTCCAGCACCAGTTAAAATATTTCACAATTTAATAATTTCACAGTTATTGGGTGCTATTTCACAATGTGGAAGCAAAAAAAAACCCCATAAAGTTCAGCTGTGATTCACAATGTACAACTGCAGTGCACAACTGCAATGTAGAACAGAATACACCTATCACTTCTGCATGTCATCCTGCAAGTGTAGCATGATATCACTAACAGGATATCAATGTATTGTGCAGAAAATAGTTTCCACTGTAAAACTGGGGGATTTTGAGTAGAATGGCTATATACGAGGGGTATTTTTTAAGTAAGGTCCGTTTTGTTGTAGACACTAGTAGTTCGCGCGCATACCGCAACGAGCACGTGCGTCGTGTACCGGCGTGCCTCGGGAACAACTGTGCTCAGTTTCCACTCTGTAGCTAACCTGTACAGTTCTGTTCTGTGCTTTAAAAATGTTTAAGACTATCAACTCACCTGCCACATGTGAGGTTCGCTCAGTGATACGGTTTTTGTTAGCAAGGAACCTGCCTGCTGCAGAAATTCGTCGACAGATTTATAAAGTGTATGGTGATGCTGTTATGAGTGAAAGCAAAGTGCGTAAGTGGGTACGACAATTCAAAGATGGCCATGACAACGTCCATGATAGGACCGCTCCAGTCGCCCTTCTTTGATTACAGACGATTTGGTGGCTTCAATTGAAGCGAGGATTCGTGAGAACAGGCGCTTCACAATAACAGGTCTCTCAAACGAATTTCCTGACGTGTCAAGATCAGTGCTTTACAACATTGTTTCTGAACACCTAAAGTTTAGGAAACTGTGCTCCCGTTGGGTCCCGAAACTCCTAACAGAGGACCACAAAAACCAAAGATTTGAGTGAACTCTTGGTTATCGGAGCAAGCGGCAAGTTTTTATGAAGAGGGTATTTTAAACTTGGTTCAGAGGTATGATAAGTATTTGAACAAACTTGGCAACTATGTCAAAAAATAGAGTGAAGTATGTATTTTCTGAAAATAATTTTACTTTTTTGAAGTAAACTTTCGTTGTGTACTTATGTTCAAACGGAACTTACGTAAAAAATACCCCTCGTATATTTCTGTGCAGAATCATTTCTACAATGCTTTTCAGGATACAGACATCAGGAGAATATAGCACAATGGGAAGAATGCTATTAAACCTTGTTCTTGGATATGAGGATGGACAATGGAAGATTAAAATCCCTACTTCAGAGATATTGTTGCAGTTTCTCCTTTGCCACTATAGTAGCACACAGTAACTGAGGCTTTAATGATGTGAAGAACCTTTTTGTTAATTAGCAAATGGCCAATTAGCCCTTTTGTTACCTGGCTCTTCCACTAGTGCAGTTGTATATTTATTGCTTCAGCAGTTATAAGCTTGGCATAGAATTCAGGAACGTTATAATCCATGTGCAGCAGCAGACCCACGGTAGATAGACTTGGAGGCTTAGTTCTTACAGAGTTCTTATCCATTCCTAGTTATGGAAGGGAGACGGCTTTGGTTACCCTGGTGGATGACCTATGCTTGGAGAATGTATCTCTATTGGTTCTGATGGACTTCTTAAAGGCTTTTGATACCACTGGCCACAGTATTCTTCTGGGTTGTGTTGCTGGGATGGAGTTTGGAAGCACTATTCTACAGTGCTTCTTTTCTTTTCTGGGGAGCACTCTATGAGGCTGGTGGTGAGGGATTTCTATTTGACTCCTTGATCATTAATTTGTAAAGTCCCTAAGGATTTTGTCATCACCCCTCAACGTTATTTAACATCCATACAAAGAAGGTTGTCTTAAGTTTTGGGGCCAGTGTCAC